GCCTTACACCTGATCCCTTCGACACCTCGTGGTTGCATAGGCTGGTGTGCTTCTTCCATGTGGGCTTTGTTGCTTCTGAGCTTGATGGCCGCTTGATTACTTTCAAGCCTTTAAGACCCCAGACGCTATACTTTTTGATAGCCGGGCACCAGGCTTTCTTCTTGGACCATGGGACCCCCTTTGGGTGGGGCCCCTGGTGTCCAGAAGGCCCTCTCAAACCCCTGCTCCAGAGCATGCATCTTGGGAAACGTGGACACAGAAGCCAACACACATCAACAGGCACAAAGCAACAGACAAGGCTAGCTAATGGTTAGCCTTGGGTGCTAGGGATGTGGATGATTCTTCGGTTCTGATTAATATTCATCCCCATTTTCTAATTTGCCTATCCTAAGCACAGCAAACGTGCTCTTTCATAATCAGAAAAACAATCTATAAAAAGGAATGTTTGCTACCTCGGCAGTTATTATTATTGCTGCTGCCTCCCCTGCTTTCTGGGGCTGGGCAAACGGCAGGCACATTTTCTGTCTTGCTCTTGTCCCCTGCTGAGGAGGCCCTTACAGAGACATCTGATACCAGGATTAAAATGAGAATCTCATTGGAACAAATGATTTCTTCGGGGACATTGCTGCAGTATTAAAGTTGTCCATTACTGTCAGCTTTTTTCACCCCCTCCCTTTTCTTTTTCTCTTTAGCCTTTTCAGGAATAATCTGAATTTTTTTTTAGAAGCTCTCATTTGAAGGTAGAATATTCATGCTCCCCAAAGATATATCCAGCGGAGTGAGGGCACTTTGTTATAAATACGTCCTCTCTGTTTCTCTGCTCTGCCTCTCCGGTAGGTCCTTCCTTGGCAGTCTGAGGGGAGGTGGGTGGGGGAAGGAGAGGGAGGTGGGGAAGGCAGGAGAGGGCCATGTTTCTGATTCAAGGCAGACACAGAAAGCAGCCTGCACAGGACAACTCCGACGCTGGGGCCCACCTATGTCTCCTGACTGAAAGTAGGGCGGGGGTGGGGGGATGCAGGCTATCAGCAGCTGAGCCTAGACCCTCACACTGGGAGGCAGGGTGCTCTGACAGAGGCTATTGATGCAGCTGCTTCCACCCAGAGCCATTGAGTGCACAGGGAAATGTACTTCCCCTGGCCATCAAAGAATGACAAAGCCTCTGTCCTGCCCTTTACCCACAGGGGTGATCATCATCCCTGCTCTCCGGACCCTGGTACTTCCTGGATCCTGTCCTGGAATACACGCTCCTGGGTGGAATGCCGGGAGCCCCAGGGGTATACTGGGCTGTGCGTTGGGCTGCTAATGACAGGGTCATATAAGTTCGAAAGGGCCAGCTGCTCCACGGGAGATTGATGAGACTTGCTGCTTCTGTAATGATTTACCATCTTGGGAACCAGCAGGGATCGTTCTACGCTACCCTCCAGGGTGGCTGTAAGTCAGGTTTGACCTGATGGGAGGGACCTGGGTGGAATGCCAGCTTCTCAAGGGTGAGGTGTCCATCCATATGGTCCCTGCCTCTCCCCCTGTCGGGGGCCAGTGAAGAGTTATCACCTCAACCACTCTCCCTCATCATGTGCATGATCACAGACTTGTCCCTGGCCCGCATCTTACTCAGCTCCATCCCAGAACTCCCTCCGCGATGGGGTGAGGTATATGAATAACAGATTTCAATTTCAAGTATGTATTCTGGAAATATAAAGGTGGTTTTCCTCAAGGACACACTCAAAGACACCTCTTCCCTACCCCCACACTCCCAGGCCAAACAAACACCTGTAGCAATTCCTACCACGTATGTTGGACCCAATATGCCACTCAGTTCACATGCATAATCTCCACTTCTCTCACAACAGGTCTGGAAAGGAAAGATTAACCGCCATGTGTCAGAGTTGGAAATTGAAGCTCAGAGAGGGAACCCGCCCAAGGAGACACAGCTCACGGACGGATCCAGGGGCCTCTGCATGGACTGTAGAGGCGTCTGTTCCAGGAGGTAGTGAATTCCCCAGCATTGGGAGTATTCAAGGAGCCCCGGTGGTTCACCAGTTACTCATTGAGCTACTAACCACAAGATCAGCAGTTCAAAACCACCAGCCACTCATCTGGATAAAGATGAGGCTTTCTACTCCTATAAAGAGTTACGGTCTCAGAAACCCACAGGGGCAGTTCTACCCTGTCCTATAGGGTGACCGTGAGTGGAATTGGCTCAATGGCAGTGAGTTTGGTTTGAGTTTAAGGGTGATGTGACCAGACATCCCGCTTTTGGTGGGACAGTCCCGATTTTTAACAATTTTTCCCACGTCCTGGCGGCGTTTTAAAAAAGTCCTGATTTTTGGAAAGAATGCACAACAAGGTAGGGAACGGCGGGAGAACGGGAAGGGAATATACGGCTGCCATGTGGCTATTTCGCCAGGATAGGAGTTTTATCAATGGTGTCCTGCTTTTGTCCCGCTTTACCAGTGTTAAAATCTGGTCACCTTATTTTAGGGGCTATCCAAAGAGGAACCATTCAGCAAAACATCTTGCAGACTTATTTTCTTATTGATCAGGAGAACAGTATAGCACTACAAGCCATCTCAGCTCGGAAAGCCTATGATGTGATGTAAAATGAAAATCAAGGTGGGCACCACCTGTTTTAGACATGTTTTACAAAGCATCCATGATTTGGTGTGTTCTACATCTGGGCCCCTCTTGGGAGCAGGGCAGGGAGGTGGTAACAGATAAGGCATCAGCTTGGGAGTTGAGCGCATCAACTTCAGAGGCACCATGTGGCCTTGGACAAGTCATGTGACCTCTTTAACCGGTCTAAGGGGAGCACTGTCACCCTTGTGGGGTTATGTGGATTCATGTATGCAAAGTGCCTGGCACATGTAGGCTCTCTCCCTACTCGCAGCATTTTACAGGAGAGGATCGTGGAAATTGTACATGCTCAAGGACTCCCAGGGCTTGCAAGTGACGGGCATACTGAAACCTGAGTCAGGCCCTATTGTGGGGGTCTTGCTTAGGGAACAGCTCTATGGTTCTACAGAGTGGCCCTCCCCCAGGACTGTGAATGAGGTGCGAAGTTGGCACTCAACAACTATATCACAAAAGCAGGTCCAGGTTCTTTATGCCTTAGGGGACCTCAAACCAAGTTCATTGCCATCGAGTCGACTCAACACTGTGCTGACTCAACAGTGACTCTGTAGGATGGGGCTTTCCAAAACTGTAAAATCTTTATAGCAGCAGACAGCCTCATCTTTCTCCTGGAGAGCAGTTGGTGGTTCTGAACTGCCATCCTTGAAGTTAGCAGCCTAATGCTTAACCCACCTAGCAGCAGAGCTCCTAGACCTTAGGAAAGTCCCCAAGGAAAGGGTAGGAGAAGGGATGGGAACAGAAGGGGGTCCTGCAGTGGGGTAGAAGGAGCCAGGCATCAGAAAGGCCTGCAGTCTGGCTCTCCACTGAGGGAGGCGGTGCTGAGGAGTGGAGGGTGAGAAGTGAAGACTCGCAGCCCCGGCACCCAGGCCTACTCGTGTCAGCTTTGCTGTGTGACCTGGGGCTTGTTCTGTCACCTCTCTGAGTCTAGAGTCCTCATATACCCAATGGGATGCATAATGCTCCCCCCTGCTGCTGAATGGCCAAGGCCAAAGCCAAAGCCAAGCTGCGTCACTGATGCTCTCCTCCATGGGGAGATGCCCCCGTTTGAGGGGGCCACCCTTTTGCTTCAGAATAGCATGGAGAAGAACCAACGAAACCCCAAACACGGGCTGCGCAGAGCCAAAAGACACGCACGCACAAAGCCGGCAGACTGCCGAGGGGCGTGAGCAGTGTGGAAACAGCCGCTGGGACTCAGACACAGCAGAGGCCGGGCCTCTCTCATCAAGGATGGCCCCCTTCCGATCTCACCCTCACAAACGGGGGCCGGGGGTGGGTGGGTGCTGGCCCTTGGGTCAGCTAAGGGCAGCTCTGCACCAGCAGGTCAGGGACCCCATGTCTGTCTTACCCGTGAGCAGCTGGACATCCGGGAGGGGCTCAGAGAGGACCCCCCGACACTGCTCCTCCACCGGCAGCGGGATCACCAACAGCCCGTCGGCCAGCTGGGGGAAGTCCTTGATGAAGTTGTTCTCCCTGTGGAGAAGAGCAGAGAGACTGCCAAAATGAGGAGGCAGGAGGGAGTTGCAGGGCAGGGAGGTGGGGAGTTCGAGTCCCACTAGAGAACCCAGGCCTCTAGGGCGAGTTGCCCGGCTGGATCGCCTCTGGATCCCTGAGTGCCAGCTTGGAGGACAGGCAGCTCTGTAATCAGACCCATGTCTTGCCTGCGGGAGAAGCTCACTCTCGCCCTGGGAGCCAGCTCCGAGGTCCCTTAGGGTGGGATGCAAACCGACCCTCACCACCTCTGGGCTGTATGATCTCGAGCAAGCTACTGTACCCTTGACTGAGTCCCCAGGGCTGTTCATCATTTAAAGAGACAAAGCCACCATCCACTTAATACACAGCCTGGCCTATGCACTGTGGCAGAAGCAATGACAGCGGTGAACCAGGAGGAGGGGGTCACTGGAAACAGCTCGGGGTGCTTGCAGAACGGGGTGAGGCCCAGCTGTAGAGAAGAAGGCTAAGAGGGAGTGGAGTTGCCGCCCTATGTTGTGGTTGAAGCACAATCACCTCCTTTAGGATAAAGCTCTTCCTTTTGGGAGGGAGACAGCCTGGCTCGCAGCAGGGAAGGGACGCGCTCAGGAGAAATTGAGGGGCCAGACTCGAGCAGTCTTCCAGACTGGCACTTTTCTCCTTAGCTTGACTTCTTTAGGGCCCCCCGTCCCTTTGTCCTGCTAGCTGGAAGGTTGGTAGTTCAAACTTGCCAGCCACTCTGCGAGAGAGATTGGTGAGAGAGCTCATGTAACGGGTCACTGGCTTGGAAATCCTATGAGGGATGCTGAGTTGGACAGGGAGCTTGGTTTCTGATTTAGGAGTTGGAATGCACTCGATGGCAGTGGGCGATCCCGTTCCCGTCGAGACATCTCAGGGAACAGGAGACGTACATTTTCCTGGGCAACTGCAGGGGACAGATGGCTTTAGGGAAGGAAGAATCGACAGTGTATCATAGGGAGGCAGGCTTCCGTCTCGTCACTAAAAAATCCCCCACAAACCCATTGCCATCTTATCAATTGTGACCACAGCACCCTATAGGGTTGTAAATATTCATGGAGGCCGACAGTCTCATCTTTCTCCTGAGGAACAGCTGGTGGGTTTCAACCACTGACCTTGCAGTTAGTTGCCAAATGCTCCGCCACCAGGGCTCCTTACCAAGAGACCTGCCCACAAAGGAAGCCACCCGCCAAGGGAGGTTGCTGGTGAGCCTCTTGTTACCAGTGGGGTGTAGGCAGGAAACTTGATACCCACTTAGCTTACACGGTGTCTAGGCCATTTCTGTGTTAGAATCTGACTTTTGAGGCCCCATCATACACAGAGCTCGTCAGAGTTAGGGACTCTCAGTGTAATCCAGTGAGGAAGGAGCAGGCAGAGAAGGAGAACAAATGGCAGAGGGTTATCGTTTCTTTTCTGAAAACCAGAAAGACAAACACAAGCACGTGCATGGTGCCTTTGAAGCCCAGGTCTGGAGCTGCCAAAGCATCAGGAGGCCTGGGTCACTTTCCTGCCTGCATGTCACCTCCCTCCATCCCACCCCAGGCACCCACACAGCTCACCCCCAGCTCATTCGTTTAGTGAACACCTTCTCCACATCTGGCTGTTGTCTAAACAATCTCCATCACTTGCTAGGATCTGCTACACCCTGTCCCTGTGCTTCCTCGTCAAAGGCCCACAGCAACCCTACCAGATATTTGCTGCCCTCCTCGTCATGGGCTGCATTTCACAAACGTGAAAAATGAGGCTCAGAGATGCTAGGTGGTCGAGTGGGGACTTGAAACTCCAATCCTTGTCCTCTTGATGAGAAAGACAGAGAACTGATGAGGGAAGGGGTTGGGCCTGGGCCGGTCTGCCAGTGGTCTGCACTTGTGTGTGGAGGCAGGCCATCCTGTTTCTCAGACCTGTGTGCAGCCAGGTCTGTTGGTGTGTGCGTGTAATTATGGGTGCCCCACAGGGGTCTGTGGTTGGCCCTTGGCTTGCTTGCAAACCTGGGAGTGTGCGACTGCAGTTGAATCCCAAAGGCTGCTGTAAATGCCACCAAGGAGCATGCACACTGGCCAGGACCTAAAGGACCAAATTTCCTATGTTTCTGATGTGTGAGGGTGTCTGGGGATGCAGCAAGTCCCTCAGAGACAGGGCGTGTGCAGGAGGAGCCCTGAACTGGGTGCTGGGACCCAGGTTTCAGCCCGGTCCTCTTCTTGTTCTCAGACTGCCCCAGCTCAGGGGAGAGGCAACACAAGTCACAATTAGTACAGCAGTCTGTCAGGGGATAAGATGCTTCTGGGCAGGGGTCTCATTCCTTTGAGACCTTGTTTTATGGGTGACTGATGCCAAGGGTCAGGTATGGCAATGACTCTGGAGACGGGTGATACCACCTCCCAGTTGTGTGACCTGGAGCAAACCACTCAGACCTTCATTTTCTCATCTGTGAAGTGTAATCACTAATGCTACTCAGCCTGCCTTAATATTATAACAATAGCCTTTTATCAAGCACCTGGTATGCCCCAAGTGACCAGTCCTTGGTGAAGGACACCATGCTTGGTAAGGTAGATAGAGGGGCAACAAAAAAGAGGAAGGCTCTCAATGCGATGGATGGACACCGTGGTGGCTGCAACAATGGGTGCAGGCATAGGAACCACGTGAGGACGGCACAGGACTGGGCAGGGTTCTATTCTTTTGTGCACAGGTCCATTGTGGGTCGGAACCAACTCGATGGCACTTGACAACCACACATGCACCAAGGATTATTCCAAGTACTGTACACGAGTTGTCGGCACAACCCTATGGCCAAGGTGACGAGAGGACCCCCCCCCCCATTGGAGATGGAGAAGGTGAAATGCAGGTCAGTTAGGTCACAGCTCAAGGCCCCACAGCAGAAACAAGATAGAAAACCAGCGGCCTGTCTCCGAGCCCCCGCTCTGCACACCTGCTCAGGTGCAGGAGCTGAAGACCCTGCCGGTGATCCTGAAGGCCCTCCCATCATGGGCACACTGAGGCTGCCCCTCATTACCTTTAGACCACCCGCCTGTGCGACCTCACACCTCCTCACACCAGTGCCAGGCCCCAGGCACGGCTATATCCCCATGTCACACTGAAGATGTGGGGCCTCTTGGGAACCGTGGTTCGCGGACTGGGTGGATTTGGGAAGAAAATACAGACTCTCTTGAGGTTTTTTCCCCACTACCACTGGGTTGGGCAGGTGGTCTCCATTTCAAGTTGCCTCTTAAAATATTGTCTAAATGGCAGGGTAGGGGGGTGCAGTGTCACCTTTCCTTGCCTCACGCCACCCCCCAACCCCCAGTTCCCTCAACCTCTGGAAAAGCCAGGAGTCGCTCTGCGCTAGAACTGAGGGGCCCAAGGGTGGCAGCACAGTGGGCACCTCCGGGAGAGGGACCTGGCACCTGGGGCCCCTTAAGCTTGGAGGAGGACCCTCTCTGTCTGGGCTTCTGGGCAGGACAAAGAAGAGCCATGTGAGATGGAGGGAGAAGGGCGAAGGGTGTGCACTAGCAGGGCAGGGTGGTCAGCAGAGAGGATGAAGCTCTGGAGCGCAACGCAGACACAGCCAAGACCCTTAGGACCCGCTCTGGCCGGTGGGTCCCCTGGTTACTCTTTGGGCCACGACTACAAGGCATGTGTGGATTCTACCAGCAGAGGGCGCCCAGGACCTTCGCATCCCTCAGCTCTTCCAGGAAGCAAGACCTGGGAGGAAGCCGCTCAGCTGTGCTGAGAACCTCAGACAGGAGTCTATGATGACAGAGGCTTCAGAATCAAACCACCGACAGAGGCCACTCAGTTGGCTCGAGGCTGGATTCTAGATGCTCAGAGCTCAAGTGTGTGTGTGTGTGTGTGTGTGTGTGTGTGTGTGTGTGTTCTCGGCAATTATTGATAGTGCTAGGATGAGTAAACTTATTAATATTTATTGGTCATTAGCTATGCTTTAGGAAGTGTGCCACGATCTATATTTCAACCTCAAAAGAAGCCTGTGAGATAACTACGCTTCTACCATGCAGATGCAGAAATGGATGTGAAGGGCAGACCCAACCCCATCTCCACACTAGGAAATGGACGGTGTCCATGGTCACACACTGGCCAATGCAGCTTAGCTCGGTGCCAGCACGCCATAAACACAGGCTCTGTGACTCAGTCCAGAGCCCGTGCCCTCGATCGCTGGGACCAAACCCAAAGCACCCTCACTGTCAGGACAGAACTGTCCCGGTGGGCTCCCGAGACTGTAACTCTTTATGAGAGCAGAAAGCTTCCTCTTTATCCTGCAGTGCGGCTGGTGGTTTTGAATTGCCAACCTTGTGGGGATATCCCAAGGCCTAGCCACTAATATCACCTCTGATTGCTGGGACAGCCCATCTAGAGAACAGACCAAGCAGTTTGGTGGTGGTTTGTCTGCGGGCTAGAATGAGCATCTGTGTACGTGGATGAGCTGTGTGTGTGCTTGTGTGTGTGTGCGCACCTGAGCAAATCTTGTGCTTCAAGTCCCAACCCAGGAAGCCAGTGTTTCTTCAGACAAATAGCTCCCAAAGTCTCTCTGTGAAAACTATTCCGTCTCCATCAGCATTGTATAGAAATGAGTCACCAAAATTTAAAAATAGTAGGTCCCTGATCCCAGGGGCTCGGATAAACTCTGGGAGTGAGATATCGTCTTCATTCCACTAGCATTTGTGGTGCAAATCATGCCTGTGCTCAACTGCTAAAGGCAAACATTTAAAAAATGGAATCCACCTCTGACACGTGGTATCGCCATGAGCCAGACTCAAGTATGGAGACTGGTTCGGTGCCTGTGTCCCAGGGACTGTTCTGGGCATGACAGGCCCGGCAGTAGAAACTAAGTGAGGTGACTACAAAGCCATATTAAAATCTACGAGGTCCTTCCTGCCTATTCAGTTCACTTCATCTTTTGGGGCACTGCCGTGGCCTTCTGTTCTCTGGTCATGCGACTATCCTGACATACCTGTAGGATGTGCCCTCCTTCT